GGTATACGAACATCTTGTAATCATAGAAGAGCTTTATACAACTTAGTTAAAAAATCAAAGGATGAAAGATTGGACTCATACTATAAAAAGTACTGTATGACATTAACGAAAGTGATAAAAGAAGCTAAGAAATTGTACTACCAAAAACTTATAAGTAACTTGGAAAACAAAATGCAATTATGTCCATGATTTATTCTGACCGTCTTACAGTGCATACACTTATTCACCTTACTCTTCTCTCTTGCACTACATGTTTCAGCACTAAAGTGCCATCTTCAGGTGCTTTTCCATGTATGTCGAACTACTTCANGATAATATAACCGAAATGAAAGTGGGGAATAGCAAAGTAACTGATACTAAGGAAGTAGTAGAAGTATTCAATAAATACTTTATAACTGTGTGTCACATATTTAATGCATCTTTTGAGCATGGAATATATCCTGATAGAAGGAAGTTTGCCTCAGTAAGACCTATACACAAAACAGGTGAGAAGGCAATTATGGCAAACTATAGACCAATATCATTGGCAATAAGTTTTTCTAAGATTTTTGAAAGAGTGGTGTTAGTTAGTTATTGGAGAGGGTGGGTTTCCCCATGCACTTAGACCAGTATTGGTCCATTGTGCTTCCCTCTATGATATTCTACCAGTCTCTATACCCTACTGATATTGGTGTGTACCATCAGTCCCGACCGAGCCAGCGAGTTCGGCCTCTACTGGCTTGGCGGTAAACGTCCTTGAATTTGGCTCAGTGACCTCCTTTGGAGATATGAGGTTCTTTACGTGCCGTAAAGCTACGACACGGGACCCACGGCTTAAAGTCCCTTCCGGAGGACTTGTTCCCTGAATTTTTCCGCCCTTAAAAATTCGACGACCTCCGCCGGGTATTTGAACCCGCGTACCACGAGTCATGAGGTGGGAACGTTACCTCTAGACTACGGAGGCCGCTAAAGAGTGGCGTACAATAGGATAAAGCAACACATATAGACAAACAATTTAATGTCTTTTCCACATTTTGGATTTAGAGAAAACAGTAACACAGAAATGGCAATATATACATTAACTAATCATATTTTATAAACGTTGGAAAGACGCAATCATTCATCAGGAATTTTTTGTGATTTGACAGAAGCATTTGATTGTGTGAATCATGATATTCTTTTGAGTAAATTAGCAACATACGGCATTGGTGGTAAAATAAAAATATGGTTGAAGTCCTATCTGGAAAATAGAAGACAAAGAGTTGAACTCTATAATAACGAAAATGGAAAATGCTGCTCAGACTGGGGAACTGTCAAATATGGAGTGCCACAGGGCTCGATTTTGGGTCCTTTGTTGTTCCTTTTATATATTAATGACCTGCCGTCAGCATTAAGTACTGACAATAAGTCACTATTGTATGCCGATGATACAAGTATATTAGTGTCAGGTGTTAATATCAATGAAACTCAAGAAAGATCTAAACTTATGTTAAATTCCTTAAGTCAGTGGTTTAAATACAATGGTTTATCCCTAAACTTGAGGAAAACTAAAGTGTTAAAATTTGAAACAATCAATTGTGACAATATGCCTGTACATTTAAAGTTTAACAGTGAATTATTACAAGGGGAAACTCATTAAATTTTTGGGCATTGAAATTGATAAGTTCCTGAATTGGAAGACACAGGTTGAATCACTGTTACCCAGATTGGGAAAGGCATGTTATGCAGTACGAAGTATGAAACAATACAGTAATGTTACAACACTTAAAATGATGTATAATGCTAACTTTCATTCACTCATGAGATATGGAATAGTTTTTTGGGGTAATTTGTCAGAGGCCAAGATCTTTCTCTTACAAAAGAAGACTATTAGAATAATAATGGGGATGAAACATTGAGAGTCATGTAGGCCAGCATTTATAAAGTTAAATATATTAACATTGGTCTCTCAATATATTTTATCTTTGATGACTTTTATGATAAATAACTTGGAATATTTTACTTGTAATTATTCAATTTATGAGAGACCGACAAGACACAAAAGAAATTTAGATGTCCTATAATCACATTTTGCAATGAGGCAGAAAGGAGTTCACTGCATGAGTATAAAAATACGAGGGGCGTTCAAGTTCTAAGGTCTCCGATTTTTTTTCTCAGGACTGGGAGCAGATAGACATATGTGGTTTAGTTTAAAATACGTGTGCACTCTTTGTGAATGCGTGACAGAGATGGCAACACTGTACGGCATACAGAACTATAGTGGTGGCGGCGAGAGTGAGGAGTGTTTTTGATACCTAAAATGGCAACGTTTTTGTTACAAGAACAGCGAGTAATCATTCGTTTTCTCCACTTGCGTGGTGCGACACCCATTGAAATTCATCGCCAGTTGAGTGAGACATGTGCTGATGGTGTCATGAATGTGAAAATTGTGCGTTCGTGGGTGCGACATTTCAAAGAAGGCTGAACGTCGTGTGACAACAATCGCGGCCTCACACCAGCCGGTCTGACAACATGGTCGAGCGAGTTGAGGAAGTTGTTTTGGAGGATTGCCGATTGAGTGTGGAAAACATCGCCTCCAAAGTTGGCATTTCTATGGGATCTGTGCACACAATCCTGCTTGAAGACCTGCGAATGCAGAAAGTGTCCTCCAGGTGGGTGCCACGAATGCTGGCAGACGACCACAAGGCTGCACGCATGGCAATTTGCCAGGCGATGTTGACACGTGATGAAGGCATGAATGGGACTTTCTTTTCATCAATTGTGACAATGGATGAGACATGGATGCCGTTTTCCAACCCTGAAACGAAGCGCCAGTCAGCTCAATGGAAGCGCACAGACTCACCACCACCAAAAAAAAAAAATTTGGGTAAGTGCCAGTGCTGAAAAAATGATGGTGGCCATGTTTTGGGACAGCAATGGCGTAATTCTTACTCACTGCGTTCCAAAGGGCACTACAGTAACAGGTGCATCCTACCAAGATGTTTTGAAGAACAAGCTCCTTCCAGAACTGCGAGAAAAACGGCTGGAAAAGGCTGCACGTGTGCTCTTTCACCAGGACAATGCACCAGTGCATCAGGTGTATGCGACACAGCAGTTTCTTCGTGAAAACAGCATTGAAGTGGTTTCTCATGCTCCCTACTCACCTGACCTGGCTCCTAGCGATTTTTGGCGTTTCCCAACAACGAAAGACACTCTCCGTGGTCGCATATTCACCAGTCATGCCGCTATTGCATCAGCGATTTCCCAGTGGTCAAAACAGACTCCTACAGAAGCGTTCGCAGCGGCCATGGAATCATGGTGTCGATGTTGTGAAAAATGTGAACGGCTGCAGGGCGATTACGTTGAAAAGTGACAGAAGTATCAAATTTTTTGTATGATTATTATGCGAGAAAAAAATCGGAGACCTTAGAACTTGAACGCACCACGTATTTAACAGTCTGCCTGATTATTTATCTAATTTAGTACATGATAAAAAACAGTTTATAAAAGAAATAAGAGATGTCCTAATACATAATCCGTCATATACTGTTGGTGAAGTTTTGCTCTTCTCTCGGGATCAAGAGCTAAGGAATAGAACAGGAGTGCATGCTGACTGATGGACGTCCCACAGTAGCATCAATATAGACATTAAGTGTAAGTGTAAGTTAAGGAAGGAGAATCATTATGTATTGCTAATTATCTTGTTGGTATAATTGTATGTGTAACATTGTATCTATTTATTTGAGGTATTCAGTTTAGATTTTAACTATGGTCGAACTGATGTCTCTGCGATTTTATCTGTGATTGTCTTGTGACTGTTGTTTGACAAGTTTTATATTCAGTGCCAGTTGCACACTTATGAATACTCTGAAACGCTGATGTATGTATGGCACATCCTGCATACTACAATGGTCCTCACCAGAACACACAATTTCACACAGGTATGGCAATCAGTAATAAGTGCCAAGCAAAAAACTAAATAAATAAAAAATTAAATAAAAAACAGAAAATGTAGCTGTCAGTATGTTCATATACTTATATAACGAGACTTTTAATTCATTTTGTCTGATTCTCTCTAATTATTTTAACAACACCTGATTTTAGTCTACTCTCAATTTATAACAGTAGAAATCCTATTATAAGAACCTCTGTTTATCATACATGTAAAGTATTTCTATGCAATGCTGCCTATGCCATCTGATGAAAACCAGTAGCAGCCAAAACACGTCAAGGCCATTTTTTATATTAAACTTGTTGCACTTCACAGATCTTGATATTTATACATCTATAATAATTTAAATTTTATCATGTAGGACTAAACAAACTCAGTTGCTGTAGTCCGCAAGCGAACTATACCAACTGAATGACTGCCACTTGTCAGCGAAGTTAGTGCCAACTTTAGCGGACAGAGGGTGCCACGTGGTCAGCACAATGAATCCTCATGGCCACTAATTTCGGTTTTCTAGACCAGAGCAGCTACTTTTCCATTCAAGCAGCTATCATCTAGGAACAAGGGATTCTAAATCCCCAGTACTATGGGGCTGACCGCTGGATTTTAACAAAAGGGGTACGGATTTGTAGTGAAAAAAAATGCAATGCTCAGCCAGCTTGATCACATTTGTAGTTAATATATTAGAAGATTAACATAAACCTCTAAGTTGTATGTAACATGTAAATGTAAAATTGTCTGTGTGCTTAATTAATTAAGCTCCACACCATGAAGGCGTATTCAAAAGTCCCCTGAATATACAAAAATAATCTAAAAAGACAAACTCCTATGAAATTACAGTTAATAAGAAAAGTAACTGATGTAAGTAAAGACACTAAATAATTGTTTAAAGAATATGACAATTTTAGCCATAAAACTGTATTGTCTGGCAAGATAATGCTTTGCAAGATTTGAGGTTCTTACAGCAGTGAATATTAAGACTGTGGTCTTCTGGGATGTGACATTATTGTCAAGATTTCAGAGAGTTGAGTTGAATCCTGACTACACATCATCATACTCCAGAAGACCGCAGTTAAAAAAAAAGAATGCTTACTTGTGAAGGCCACTGCAGAACCTCAATTAGGATCTTCTTTACTTCACACAATCCTCCAATATCATCCCAAGAGCAGGAATTGCCATGATAGAGGTCCACCCCTCGTTGTAACAGAGGCACACTGTTAGTTAAGGCTACTTCAAAGTCGCTGTTGTCTAATTTCAGAGTCATGGCAGCCTTACAGTCTTGAGCAGATACTGTAGTAAATAAATGCAAACTTTCCAGATTCTAATACTGATAATGAATGTGTTAGAAAAATAATGCCTTTCCACCATGATGCGTTAACAGCAATCCAATCATTACACATTGTGAACAATTAAACACTCCCATTCCTCTAACTACAACAAAATGTTTAACACACAGAAAAACCAAAGGAACTATTTTCATTAATAAGTAACATATTATTAGATATACTGAGTGAAAAATCAGGACTCCTCCTGATCTTCTAAAACTTTAGTAAATAATTTTATTCCACAGAAAAGGATTTTTTTCCTACATTTGCAACTCTCAAAATCTCATCCTGCAGCCACATACTAATGAATCCATCTCACAGGTCAGGACACCACTAGAGTAGATTCTGTTGCCCTCAATGACAAGGTGATTATGAAACTAATGATCAGCGGGGGTGGACCTGTAGCTTAATGTGGGCTCTGAACTATTAGGAGAGAGGGGTGTACTCTCCATATTCCCTAAGTTTCATCTCTCTGGTAAAGTTGAAGCTTTCAATCTGTGGGCACAGAAATCTCACCAGGATTGAACACAGAACCCTCTGAATGACAGATCAATCTTACCAACAGGCCCCCAGGTCCCCTTTAAACTTCTTCATTTATGTAATTCTAACTACTTGTAGCAGACTAGAAAATATTACTATAGGAACATCTTCTGTATGACAGTCATTTAAAAGTTAACTGTTCAGTAAGAATGCTTAATTACGCACCACACCATGAAGACATGCTTAACCTCAGCACAAGATGTAGGTGGGTGGTCAGTTTCATGCCCTGGTTACTTTACTCAATGGGAAAGGTCTCCTGGTACTCACTGGATAAGAGGCTAGGTGGGTCCCAGACTCGATCTGGTTGCAGCAGTGACCCAATTCTAACAGAAATTTGATTTGTTCATTTACAAGCGGCATCCTTGTATCTATTACAGCATCATCATTACTGAATTTGGCTTCAACAATACCTGTTCTCTTGCAAGATTCAAAAATGGCCTTGTCAACAAGGTCCACTAAGTCCTGCACAACATAGCCTTCCGATCTGCCAGCTATCTTGCTCCAGTTCAGAGGAATGTCATCATCGATAGTTACATCAATCCGCTGGGAAATTATGTTCTTCAAAATGTCTGCCCTGTCATCCTGTCAGCATCCAAACAAAGCAGGGGTTACAAAAGACTGAAACAATAAATCTAATGCTCTATTTCTTATACAATATATCAATAAATGTAGGAGTGTGATGAGATGAAGTCACCTTGGTAATGCAGCAACAAGTGGACCTGTTGTATGAGCCACTAGTGGTAGATAACTATGCAGCACTGGTACAACGGCTGGAAAAGAACACAGCATGCAGAAATAATTCTTCTCCAGATCCATTTTGTCCATCACAGATCCTGCATGGACTACACTTGGATTAATCTGGACCTTGAAAGCCAGAAGCTGGCTACAAACTGCCTGATCTATGGCTCAGCCTACTGCTGAAATATATCAATGCTATATAATTTCTTAAACTACTGAAAGCATCACTAAGTAAACCATAAATAAATACAACACAAAACAATCAGTTCTGGATAGAACCAATATGCTTACTGTCCTTCAAATTCTTCATTCCATATGGTTAGTTACAAAACAATAATTACAAAATTGGTGATCTATTTCTGCATGAAAACCTTAAATATTCTTTTGAGTATTATTTATCATGCACAAGTGGTACAAAGCTGTATCACTTTTCAACATAATCTCCCCCATGCTCAATGCAACTCCTCCAGTGCTTACGAAGTGCATGAATTCCTTTAGAAAAAAATTCTTTTGGTAGTCCGCGCAACCGCATGGCTTACCTCATCATCAGATCGGAATGTCTTTCTTCCCATTGTTTCTTTGAGTGGTCCAAACATATGGAAATCACTTGGGGCAAGGTCTGGTGAGTATGCCAAATGAGGAAGACACTCAAAATGCAGGTCATTGATTGTCGCAACTGTCGTATGGGCAGTATGGGGCCTTGCATTGTCATGTTGCAAAAGGATACCTGTAGACAGCAATCCATGTCGCTTTGATTTGATTGCAGGCCGAAGATGATATTTAGGAGATCTGAGTATGATGCACTGGTGACAGTGGTCCCTCTAGGCGTGTAGTGCTCCAAGATGACGCCTTTTTCGTCCCAAAAGAGAGTCAGCATAACCTTCCCTGCTGATGGTTGTGTTTGAAACTTCTTTGGTTTTGGAGATGAGGAATGGCGCCATTCCTTGCTCACTCTCTTCCTTTCCGGTTGGTGGAAGTGAACCCAGGTTTCGTCCCCAGTAACGATTCTTGCAAGGAAGTCATCACCTTCTCGTTCAAAGCGCTGCAGAGGTTCTTCACAAGCATCAATTCAGGAGTCAGCTGCTGTGGCACCCATCTTGCAGACACTTTGCGAGACTGGAGCATATTGTGCACCTAGTGGTGTGCTGAACCATGACTAATGTTTAAGCTTCCTGCAATTTCATTCAACGTCATTCAGCGGTTTTCCCTCACTATGGCTTCAACTGCTGCAGTGTTCTCTGGTGTCATAACTCGATGTGCCTGACCCAGACGAGGAGCATCTTCCACTGAAGTCACACCATTTGCAAACTTCCTACTCCATTCATACACTTGCTGTTGTGACAAACATGCATCACCATACTGAAACTTCATTCTTCAATAAATTTCAATAGGTTTCACACCTTCACTACACAAAAACCGAATAACAGAACGCTGTTCTTCTTTGGTGCAAGTCTCAGGTGGGGCAGCCATCTTATACTGGTGCTGTGACAGTGTTCGTGCATCTGCACTATTCTGCAACCTACAGGCCATTCTGCAATGTTTGTAGCACGCTTACCAACTTACGGGATAATGGAGCAAAATTTCGATTTTTTTATTACAAATTTAAGGTTTTCATTTGACTCGCCCTCATACTTTCTATTAATACAAATTCAAACTGACACATACAGAACCTCAGGACAAAGTGAGGTCTGATGTTCTTACAGTAATAACCACAAAGATTAGTGTCTTCTGGGATGTTCTGGGATATAGTTTTGATGTCTCCATCTTTAAAACAGAAGAATAATCTTGTATCCTGAAGATGGAGGCAGCACACTCCTCTGAAACACAAGTACCTATATACCAAACTACTGCACATGGCATCACAACTAGAAGACAGTAATTTTCTACAAAACATTCTGCATACAGAACTTGTAGGTATCTTCATGATATTGTAACGTGTTTCGTTACTGAAGACGTCATTCGGATTGTTAATTGGTTTATTCAACAACCTACAAGTAACGGCTACAATTATTTATAACACAGTTGCGGGGTTTCACACTTTATAACCCTAATCGCAATAATCTGTTAACACTGTTGCGGGGTTTCAAAATTTATAACCCTATGCGCAAATCAGTTCACTCTGTCTTCAGTAGTCTACACGTTTACAGTAGGGGAGCTTTGTATCACTGTATCACACGCTCCCAATTACACAATCACACACACGTCCAGTTCTTCTTTCCGCGACGGCTGCTATATTCCAACTCTAGTCTGCTGACTGGAGAACTGTTGATAACACACTCGCTCGTAGGCTTGCTTGGAACTAACTCGGAACTGAACTCGGCGATGGCCACATTAAACTAACTACTCCTTGCAGGCAGCGCAGCTCTCTTATATAGTGGCTGTGTGTGCCTGTTACGTGGCAATGCTGTTACCTCACGCCGTCTTACATCACCGCGCGTTGCGCGTTACGTTACCCTGCGGAGGGGGGGGAGGGTAGCGCTGACTCATCTGCCACGTCACTGTGGCCTGAGCTGTCACGTTGCTGCTGGGTAGGGAGGGGTTCTCCGTTGCGCAACATGTCACAATATATTTCCATACAAAATCTGATACAAACAACCTTAGCAATTCATTAGCTATCACAGTCAAACTGAAACCTAAGAACAGACATGCCATTTTGTTTTAAGATTAAAAGTAAAGTAAAAGTAAAAGTAAAGGTATTGGGATAACAGGCCATGGAGGCCCATAGGGTTGTGACATGTTGAGAATCCCACATTTTCTAGACAATCGGCTCAATGATGGCAGTAAGGTTGTCAGCCTTAAGCGCCAGCCGCCCTTTACTCCCAAGAATATTCCAAGAATATTCCTGGTACTTATTTCTGTTAGAAACTGGGTCAACCCCAGGGCCATAGTGCTGCTGGAAGGATTAAGTGAATTGAAAAAATCCAATGACCTCATCAGGAATTGAACCCGCGACCTTCCGGCTTATAGCACAGTGCCTCAACCAACTATGCTACCACGTGCCCCTTGTTTTAAGATTACCTTCAACAAATCCTCCATGGTGACACAGAAGACAAAAGACTACATAATAATCACCTACATAAAATAAAGTTATGATTACATAAAACAACATAAGTATTAACCTTATTCAAATCTGGAATTTCCAACACAGTTTTGAAAATGTGCCAACCACGTGGTGCTACCAGGGAGGAGTTGACTTTTAAAACAGATGGTGCTGTAGCTATGATTGATACACAATTTGACAACTGGAACTCTTCTAGAAGTTCACTTAGTTTTTCACCAACTCTGCAATATAACAAAATAAAAACAATAAGCTGAAGAATCTAGAAAGTAAGGTTCCTGCAGTCATTGTACTGACATATTAGAAAACAAACAAAAGAAAAATCCATATGGAAATTGTAGATTTGTACATACCAGGTCTGACAATAAAGTTCGCGAACTTGCCACTGTCTGATTGCCATGGCAGCAGGGTACAGAAACCTTAGTGTGGTTTGATGACGTTCGCATATCAGCATTTCACAGCTGTGTTGTTGTTGTTGATCTATGGCAGTCTCTTTCTGTGTGGTGTCTATTATTGTCTGAGTGTGTTTTGGTGTGCTGTCACCAACAACTCATGGATCATGCATCATGACAATGCACATGCTCACACAGCACTGTCTGTCAGGGAGTTTTAGCTAGTAAACAAATAACTGTGCTGGAACACTCTCCCTATTCACTGGATCTAGCCCCGTGACTCTTTTCTGTTCCTGAAGATAAAGGAAATACTGGAAGGAAGGCTTTTAATGACATCAGGAGTAATACAACAGCAGCTCTGAAGACCTTTCCACAAAACCAGTCCAAAATTGTTTTGAATGGTGGACTAGGCACTGGCCTCTGTGAATAGTCTCCAAAGAGAGTACTTTTGGCAACCACAATGATATTCAGCAATGAGATATGTATGACTTTTACTGTGATGAGTTCGCGAACTTTACTGTCAGACCACTTAATCTCTTGCCATACCATACCACAGACATCAAACCTAAAGCAAATGTATGTGTGTATGTGCATGTGTGTAAAGTGTGTGGGTGAGCGCACATGCACGCACACACAGATGACAGCACCACACTGTTATTTCAGTTTCCCATACAAATAACATTAACAATGCTTGTACATTTTTTAGAATCATAACAAATTTTAGGAGAACCTTCTGAGTGACATTAGCATTGTCTCACCTAAAAATTAAAAGAGCTGCCTTGCTATTAATTGTAAACATATGCATCCCCAAATATGACACTGGCTAATCCTCTATAACCTTACTGACAAGCTGCACAGAAATGAGATAATTCAAAATCTATTTCATTGGACATTCAGACAGTATGCACCGATTTCCTTTTAGTCTAATTTCTTTACTTCATAAAGAAAATTATACTTAATCTTCTGCAACTAACTATACCAAAATACAATTACACAACAGTAATACCTGACAAGTCAAGTACTACCTACATGAACATGCCTTCAAATACCACACTACAGAAAGCATCTCTTTTCATGTATTAAAATTTACATATGAGGTTACACCTAATGATTTTCAGATAGTAAAACTGATACACAGGGACATATGGGTAAGAGAGAATCCCAAATTATATAATCATTAAATCACACCTTCCATTAACCTTTCTGTAAAAATGGATAGGTTATGCCAAAACTTACTTAAAAGACTGGTGTATTAAAAACTGGAGAAGTAAAATGACAGTGCAATACCAAATTTTCATTCAAAAATATTTTTATATTCAGTGCACAGCATCTGGTAAAATCTAAATGGAATTAGATTATAAGAACACTACAAAAATTATAAAAACACACAAAGTTCATTTAACATGTCTGTTCAAAGGAAATCAAGTTATAAAAATCCAGAAATAAAGTGTTGGATATCTATCTGAAGTTTGAACTGCATATAGTATTTTAACATTATGGTCTCCTGAGATGGCTATGGGCTCGACAGCCCAGGTTTCATTCCCGGCAGTGCAAGATTTTCTCTTCTTTGGAGCATTGCGACTAGGTCTGGGGCCAACCCAGCCTCTAACCTAATGGATACTGGGGACTCAGCCCCTGGCAGTAAAGTGGCAGGGGCGTGAAGCTGACCATTCATCTCAATCTAGTGCTGAGGTCAAGAATGGTGGAGCTATACTTCCACTCCATTTCTTCACAGCACAGTGCTTTACTTTACTTTTATTAACATTTTGGAGGAACCTGCTGCCTCCTTCTTTAGGGCAGTTTCTTCAAAATCTTGATACCTACCAACTAAATTAAATGGCATTACATCCCAGAAGATCATAATCTTAATTTTCACTGCCATGAGAACCTCAAATTTCACATATTAATATTTTATTCCATTACAGCATAACAGAGAGAAAAACATGCAGTTTCTACAAATATACTGTGTTTGTTTACAGAAGAAGTATTATGACAAAATTAAATACACTCAGCTCTCGATTATCCGGGATAATGGTGGGGATGGAAATTATGATTAATCGAAAACCCAGTTAAGACAAATTTTATTAAAAGTAGTACTGTAATACTGTACCTTCATAATACTATAGGCCTACCTGTATTTAAATTTATTCAACCTCATTTTTATGTCATCTCATGGACTATTTAATACTTTTTTACATTACACTGAAGTATGAATTAGTTATTTCAATCACAGTGTTCAACATCCAAAACTTTTTATGAATATTCACACTTAACACTTAAAAAAATTTAATATTGTCGTTTGCTTTTTCGCGGCATTTCCCTTTCTACGGATATCCATATGAAGCCTACGTAATATTAGCTTGTCACTTAATGAACTGTTCTCTTCACTCTCAAGATAGTCNATCCATGGATTTCGCCATCTTCATTAGTGATGAAAGACATCAGTTTCTTCCATGACTTGGATCTTTTCATGGTTTTTCTCTTCTTCACTCCGCTTGAATTAGAAGATGAAGCAAAGGAAATTGATTGATTCTTTTGTTTTTTCAAATCACAAACAGTTTGTTCTCCAATACTGTATTGTATTGCTAATTGTTTAACTACACCTCTTTTTCCCAACTGATTGATAATTTCAAGTTTCTGTTGAATACTTAACACAACACACTTCCTTTTACACCCTGACATTTTGCTAACGCACTTGAAGATCGATACAAAGAGACTAACTGGGGCAGTGTATCTGTCCTTGAAACTTTCTACAAATCCTTGCATTCTTTCACACCTACCCTAGAACACTGTGTTAGCATAACGGGACCAAATAATGCAGAACTCAGTCCACATTAGCGTGAAAATAGTGTTACAACTCACCATGTGAAACAAGAGTGAATGAATATTAAACAACACATAAGCCTCAAAAAAGCCCCGGTAGACCCGGTTAAGCCGCAAACTGGTTTATCTGCCCCCGGATAATCGAGAGTTGAGTGTATATAAAAATGTGGACATCATACATTATTACCTAGTATAGTAGTAATCTTCTTCAGATACTGTTTGCCCCGGAGCCGAACTTCCGATACCAGCAATTGAATCCAAATCATCAAATATGAGAACTGATGGCTGGTAGTAAATGCACTCCCCCAGCCACTGAGACATATACTTCTGTAATGTTTCCACCCTCTTACCTGAGAGAAATTACAAGAGTTACTCAGATTATTTGACCCAGTTTTATATGTTGTTCTTTGTACCCCACTATATTGTCAATATATCAATTATACTGTTAACTATAACTGTTCCTACTTTTCAATCCAGCAACAAAACATGCACAGCTTCAAAATTTCTTTCTTAAATGAAAATTTTTTAATGAATTACAAATAATCATCTCACTAATACCACTCATGTATCACAGAAATACCTTAGTTCTAAAACTGTTATAGTTTTTCACCAGTTACTTTTAAACACAAACTTCAAAATTAAAGATTCATTTCTTGATACTATGATGAATAAATGTTGTTATATGAGCTTGTTCCTTCATTCCGTCACAGAATAGGAATGATACTTGGAACATGCGCAACATTTATCATTACATAAATAACCTGAAATATAATCAGAATTCTAAGTTAACCTACTCATTTGTTTACCTTTCTTGAGATAAATTAAAAATGTGTATATCCTCAGCCCTCATATAACATCACTTTCTATAATACAGTTCCTACAGTGTGGGATTTTGATATAATGAATTGAGATTCAAAATTGTAATTTGCATTCATTCAGCTGAGTAAAGTGAAATGAAAAATGAAATCAAGAATTATTACTAGCAAGCAAAAGTGTCCAAGCATATCACCACCAATGTCATCTCAGAGACTGGCCAGGTAGGCAATCTCTAACTGGTGAGTTTTCCGCCAGAAGTTCTTCAGGATTCCAAATTTTCCACTTTTGAAACAGATCTCTGCAAAGCTTTTTGTGTCAGCAAACTCTTCTACAGTATGTTTGGACAGAGCCTTCAGACAAGGCAACTTAAGGAAACCCCATATATCTAAGTGCTATGCTGAAACACCGAGCAAAATTGGAGTACTGTGCAGGGAAAAAAAAAAAAATATATATATATCTGGGTGTCCACAGACAAAACAACCAATGGAAGGAAGATTCCAAATGATGTTAGCGGTGTTCTTAAGAATGATCAAATGCTATCAGATAAATAATTTCTTGTGTCATGCCAGGAAATGTCTGCAGTGACTCACACAACTTTAGCATGTGTTTTCAATGAAGCTACATAGACATTGTCACCAGACGGTGTGAAATGACATGCAGTTGCTAGTTACAGATACTGTAGGCAGGGTGGCTGTGTCTTTGGTAGGGACGTATCATAGACCAGGGATGCACTGAGAGACAGTTTTGGAACACCCCCTCGTGGTCCTGCTGGGCAACGACAGTCTTGGGGGTCTGCATTAGCATGAGCTTCTGGGGCTGGTGGCCAAGTTTCCATAAAGGGCAATGGCTATTTGACCAGAGCCTCCCATGCGGCGGCATAATGACTCCTGGGTTTCATTACGATGTACCCGGGACGAATGCGGGAGAGCACTCCTATGGGGGTAGCTACGGCTATTTGAGTTGTCTCCCTAGACCACCAATTAGGTGCCGCAAGCCTTAGGGCTCAACACTCTAAAAGGGTTTCGACCAACCCATGTAGATGGGTGGGAATGGGGGAGCTCTGAAGCAACCTCCAGGGGTGATAATCTCGTGTAGGATGCCCTGGTCGCAAACTCGTGACAATTAGTATCGCATTCCCATTTATCATCTGGGATACCCCTCCCCCCCGAACATGCACTCTTGGTCCTGGAGGCTTGTGAGGGTTATATTTATGAAGGACCAACCTCCTAAGCCAAGGTGTGAGGCATCATGCCGAGGGCTGCAGGACACTGGGGTGGTTATTGGCCAGTGTTGTAAACGATCCTCTCGGGGCACCAGGCAGCACCCTGTTGTATTTATGCCTTCCACCCGTACGGGGCTCTGCGGGTGGTGACCTTTTAAATCCCCATTACTTGTGGGACCGAAATGAAAAAAGGAACCAAACCAAAAACCGGTTGCAAGGACCTTACACTGAAGAGGGACCCCCCTTTAAGAGGATCCTTATGAGAAATGCTTCAGCAGGGAGCTAGAAGCTCTGGTGAACCATTAAGGGGCCCAGTTGCAATCGGTGAACTTGCTGTTGAAATTTCAGTCAAAGGCAAGGATGAACCAGTGATTCAAAACTTGCCAGAGGCAAAACTAAAAACTACTCTCCTGGGGGTCGGTAGTACTGACACGCCCCTGCAGGGAGCCAGTACTTCTAACATAACTGCAGCAGGGGAAAGACTGGGACACCTAGGCTCTGGAGTAGGTGGACCCCATCTGGCGAAGAAAGCTTTGTCTGGATGCGCTAGACGAAAGTTAAAAAAAGGCAAAAGCTGAGACAAGCAAAGCAGGAACTGGGAGCAGTCAGCAGCCAGGAAATGCAAGCTCGTCCAAGCAGGGAGAAACCCCCACAGGCACCTTTAAGAGGCCAAGGTCGGAGGGCAGTAACCCTACAGAAACGGCCAGAACTCTGAAAAAAGCCCAGGAGCAGGGACTTACAAGGAGACTCTGACCAATATAAAGGTAGCTATATTCAAGGAAACTTACCTTGAGGATAAGCTTACCGAAAACGACCAAAATTCCATTCTGGAAGCTTTGGGCGAGGTGTTACGTAGGACTCCAAAGGTAAAATACCACACCTAAAATCATACAGACTGTTGGGAGGTGCACTTATCTATATATGTGCTGACCAACAGTCTGGTCAATGGCTCATCAGAGCCATTGACAACCAGAGGCTTCAATCAGGGATCAGGCTGAAGGCTACTGATGCCAGGAACCTGCCCAAGCCTGTTAAAGTAGCTCTCCGGACTAGGGATAAAATTGCCTAAAACCAGGAAGAGCTACTGAAATGGATTGCCGATCTTAATCCAGGACTCCATACAGAGAAGTGGAGGGTACTAGACAAGCAATCTGAATCGAAAGGCCAAAGGCTTATCTTATTCATAGACCGGGACTCCCATACTATTATACAGAGGACCAGTTACAAAATATTTACAGGACTCTCACAGTGGACTGTTAAGGTGCTGGATGATCCTGAAGTTCAGCGCTGAGTAGAACCCGTGACAGACATTGTATCTTCTAACTCGGTCTCCGAGGAGGAAGGAGATGAAGTACGCAACCCCCCGGATGACCAAAGCAAAACGGATCAGGGGACCCCTTCACATGGAACCCACTCCAAGACCGGAGAGGGACATAAGACGGAAATTGACCCCTCCTCAATTGGAAGAGATCATGAAATTTCTTTAGATCAACCTACACCACAGCAAAGCTGTCATGGCAGCTCTGTGCCAACAGCTAGCTGAGGGTAAGGCAGATATAGCACTTATTCAGGAACCTTGGATATACAAGGGTCAAATAAGGGGCTTAAATAATATGGAGGGAACAGTTTACTCTGTTGCACCTAGTAATAATGCAAGATCCTGTGTTTATATCAGGAATCATGTTAATGCCTTGCCTTTGCTGGAGCTCTGTTCTAGGGATACAACAGCGGTAAGGATAACATACCCGTATCAAGAAGGCAGCAAGGAGCTGATTGTTGCTTCAGTCTACCTTCCATATGACTCGGATGAACCACCACCAACTAAGGAGATGAGGAACATCATAGACTGCTGCTGTAGTAGGAAAAAGCAACTCATCATTGGGTGTGATGTCAACGCGCACATCTTGTGGGGGAGCACCGGCATTAACCCAAGGGGAGAGAGCCTTATGGAATTTCTGGTGAGTTTGAACCTGAATATTCTTAACCATGATAAAGAACCTACCTTTGTGGTTTGCAATATGAAGGAGGTTATTGATTTGACACTAGGGACAAATGACATAGGAAACCTGGTAAGTAACTGGCATGTATCTGTTGAGCCGTCCCTATCGGATCAGAGATATATATGCTTTAAAATAAGTAACATTACAGTAGATCAAGCTACTTATAGGAATCCTAAGAGAACCAATTGGGAGTCTTATAAAGACGACCTAAAGGTAAATCTAGAGGCCATTTCGCGTACTATATGCATAATAAAGGATGTTGATCAGTCTGCTGACCAGTTGCAACAGGCTATTATCTCATCCTTTAATCAGAATTGTCCAGCTAGGACCACTCGTGGACCAAGGAGAGCGCCTGGGTGGAATAAACAGCTGAGTGGGCTTAGAACCAAAATGAGAAGGCTGTTTAATGCAGCTAAAAGAACAGGGCAATGGGACACTTATAAGGGAGCCCTTACCTGTTACAATAAAGAAATAAGGGAAGCCAAGCGATCCTCATGGAGAAGGCACTGCCAGGAGATCAATGATGTACCAGGCGGTGCCAGACTCATGAGGATCATGGAAAAACAGGCAACAAACAAGGTTAGCAAAATTAAGCTGCCTAACGGACAGTATACTCAAACAGGAAGGGAAACGCTGAATGAATTATTCATGGTTCACTTTCCTGATTCAAAATTGATTGACAGTTTGGACGATGGGCAGGGTCAGCAGAACCTGGACACTTGCCAAAGCAAGATGAACAGGGCAGACTGGAACCTGGCCAAAGTCATAATTAACCAAAGATAAGATGGGCTTTGAACACTTTTAAACCATTTAAATCAGCAGGAACAGATGGGATTGTACTGGCACTTTTGCAGCATGGGGCAGAACTTTTAGTTCCACACCTATGCCGCATATATATAGAGCCTGCTTGGCATATGGTCTCATCCCCACGGCCTGGAGGCAAGTTAAGGTGACGTTTATTCCAAAAGCCTGGGAAACTTGATTATACCGAGGCTAAGGCTTATCGTCCTATCAGCCTATCATCTTACCTTTTGAAATCGATGGAGAAACTAGTAGATAGGCATGTTAGGGATGGGGCATTGAGGACTTATCCTCTACACTGAAACCAACATGCCTACCAAACAGGTAAATCTACCGAAAGTGCACTACACAATGTGGTAACACGCATAGAAAGTGCAATTGAACACAAGAATATTGCCTTGGAAACATTCCTTGATATAGAGGGAGCCTTTGATAGAACCTCATTTGATGTAATCAAACAAGCTGCTGGAAGGCATGGTATAGAGCCTGCAATATGCAGATGGATCAATGC